CAAAAAAAAAAAAAAAAAAGAAAAAGAAAAGAAAAGCTTTTAAGAATTAAGAATCAAAGGTTAAAATGATTCGCCCTCGGATCGAAATACAGACAGGTTCACTCCACTGCGAGCTTCTGGATCTTTACCGGTAGTGAAAGGAGAGGAACAGAGGACCTCAAAGCCACAGGAGTACAATGAAATAATGGATGTGAAAAGGCCTCGGTGAACAAGTGGAAGGGATAAGGCCTACCCCACTCGAATCACTGTCGAAAACTGGTTACCCAGGGCCCCTGCCCAATGGTTTCTCGTTCCAACCCTGCCCCTTCTGCGCCCAGCCCACGGCGATATCTTTGAATCTCTTTCTCCATCTCCTTCGATCCTGCCCCCCAAACACTAGCCGAAGCGGCGGAGCGGAGAATAGAAGGTACGCGCGCGAGCAGAAGGCGGGGCCTGTTGCCCTGATCCGTACAGGGGTGGCCTATACACATGCGCCATGGGCCCGTGGCTTCAGCTGCCCGTCTCTGTGGCCAATCAAAGCCCGCGGCGCGCTTGGGACGTATAAACGCTGTGTGGGTCGTGTGCGTGCAAGGGGGGCGACGTAAGGGTGCTTCGCGAGCCAGTCTCTTCTCGAATGAAAGGAAACAACCTCCGGCGACAGAGCCCCGCTCTCAGGCGCTGCCGGAGAATCGAGACCGACTTCTTTCTCTTTCCCCTCATTGGCGCTTCTCTGTGCCCTCCGCCTCTGGGCCCGGCTGGTGAGTACCCGCGGAACCCTGGGGCCCCCCGTTCTCTACCCGGCGGGAGAAGACAAGGAGGATGGCGGTGGCCAGGCCGCCGCCCCTGCCCGTTGTTAAGGGGGGACTCTTGGTGGTCTCTTTATTGTCAGGGACCCCAGAAGCGCCGCTCATTGTAGGCACTTGGCAGAGAGGCTGCTGAGAAAGTGCTTTGGAGGTGCTGAGAGGGGGGGGGGTTGGCTTAAGCTTATACTTCGGGGGAGGGGGCGCAACATTTGAGGAGGGAAAAAACTGGGAATTGTTAGTCTTTCCTATTTCTTAGGACATATTTGGGAGAGGGAGGCTTCCAGTTTGGGAAGAGGAAGAGAAAGAATTTTTAGGATGGCAAGAAGGTTAGCCCTGGTCTATTAGATATTAGAGGGCAATCCCCTTGGGGAGGCGGCGTAAAGAAAGTGGTAGGATGATATTTTCCTGGATTCAGGGGGATTGGAAAAGGACAATTAGGGGATCCTGACTTTTAAGACGGAAAGGAACCTGCTGAAGTGTTTTAGAGAGAGTTTTTCGAGTTTATCTAGCGCTTGATTAGAGGAAGATCTTGGCGTCTAGTGAGCATCAGGGAATAAATAACGGAGATCAGTGTGTTATATTTACCGTCCTTTATTATGTGGACGAACAGCGCGGTATTTTGCAATTTCCATTTGTTTCAGTATTCTGCGTGGAAGTTGAAAAATCTTTTGTTTTTTGAAAAGCCTTTTATTTGCATCTGCTTACTGCGTAATATCAGGTCTTGCCCATACAGTTCAAATTCTTTCTCTACCCCTTGGGTTTGAAACAACTGGAAAATTCCTTTAGTTTCCTTTTGAATAACCGCAAAAAGCAGTGCGAAGCATTTAGCAATATCGTGCAACCAAATTCAGGTGCCCTTCCGGTACATCTCTTACTCTTTTATTTCTTTCCACTGTAACTTTCCTGACAGAAATACTGTCTTTTAAGGATCGCATTTATATATTTTTTAATCTGTATATATATTTCAGCTTGCTTGCGTGTGGAATGTTTGAATCTTCCGGAACTGCAGTTTTTGTTTTGTTTTGTTTTTCTATGAAAACGCTCTCAGAAACCAGGCATTGAATGAGCTCTCGAGTTGGTTCATGACTTCTCGCCTTGATGTTTCAGGTTATTTCTACCTTGGTGCCTCACAGCATCTTGGAAAATCGGAAGCGCATTGATTGCTTCAGCCTAGCTAATCTGGCTTTTATATTTTTTCAGATATTTAAATTATTTTTTCACGCCATTATTGTTACCTCTTTTATTTCTGCTTTGTAATGTTCTGCTTTTAAGGAAAAGGCTTCATTGTTGGGTGAAAGTATCAAACTTTGATCTCTGCCTGCCCAGAAAAACCTTTTCGACTAAAATTAAAATGCCATGTAGCCATGGATCATTATGAACCCCTTAGTATTGATCCTTGGAATGCCCTCGTTCTACATAACTAGAGACCACAAATGTGACAACGTTAGATAAAAATCTGTATTTTTATGATAAAGACATTTTTTGCTAGGAGTCATTGTTTCCATGATGTTCTTCACTTCATGTTTTATAAGGAGGCTGTAAAAAAAAATAGCAAGATATGCACAGATGCATTATTTGAATTTTAGTGGAAAAATCCATTTAGTCATTGCACATTGGGGAAAGTTTTTAATTCGTTTGTTGCACTTTTTATATGGCTCTGTTCACTTTACACATTAAGACTGAATATAGAAAGAAAAACGTTAGAATATTTTTGCATGTAAAATAAAGTGTACCTTTTTTCTCTTTTAGATCTTGGAGTCTTTGATAACTAGAAAAGCAGGTTCTCAATTAAGATAAGAAATTTACCTTTTTATAATTTGAAAGAGGCAGAATTCAGTATGGATAGAATTTGGGGAATAGCCTTTGACAATTAATTTTGAAAATAAATGAAAATTCCACTCTCGAATTGTCTTTATTTTAAGCCAGTTTTATAACCAGTGCCAGGATTGTACAGAAATTACACATTAAAGATGTCTATACAGATTAGATTTATAACGTGCCACCCTTTTAAATTGCCTGCATGACGGAGAGAAATGCTGAATACATTACAGTGTCTTCCGAGTGCCTATTATTCATTGCATGATAGGAAAAAAACTAATTTAGAACTCAAATAGCAGATTTTGCTATTTATGAAATCTTGATATTTTGCATAGTTAATTCTAAAAATTTGAGTAGCTATATTCTTGATAAAGCAACTGAACACATATTTGCCTGAGCAAATGCAGACACACTTCCTCTTTTGTTTCTTTTGTTTCTCTGTTATGTCTTTTTTTCTTTAATCTTAAAAGTATTTACTGTCTGCTTTCAATCAGTTTCATGGTTTATAACCAGTGCTATGAATCCAGTATTGTAAAGTATCTGATGGCACTTAGAAGACTGGGATATAGTATTTAAAATTATAGATAACATTAAGAGTTTTTTAAACCCATCAAAGCAGAGACTATTAAGGGCCTTACAAATTTTGTTAAAAAGAAAACCTTAGATATAAATTAATGAGAAGATTTTTTTGTGGCTTCATGTGAATTTTAAGTATCTGAATTTTTATACTGCTTAGCAATGAATGTTTTATAGGTACAGTATTACCTTGCTGATACTGTATTTGTTGGTGAATAAATGTTTCTCAGAAAATTACAGTATAGTGTTTGTGAATCAGTTTTGTAGACAGTTTTGAAAATGTACAAATATATAGAAAATGAAAATAATTTAATTAATTTTAAGACAAAAGTTTGAAATTTTATTGTGATGTGTGTTGTGGCAGCTTAAGTTCTGAACTGCTTAGTTCTGTTGACTTCAGAAAACTACACAAATCAAATAACCTGATTTAAATTTGTCCAGTTTTGTTCTGAAGAATCTATGTTGAGAATGATGATCTCAGTTTGAAACCTGTGTTAGAGCTTTTCTTCCCTTTTTCTGTTTGACTATACTATCTATAGTTGTGATTTGATCAAATTTAAGGCTTATTCAGAAAAAATTTCCTTTCATTACACAATAATTTACGTGTGGAAGTTGACTGTGTTTATATAATTCTCTGTTAATTAATAAGCAGATTTGGAATAAATTCAAGTCCTGTAATATAATTTTATAAATATTGGGTCCTAAAGACTGCATTTTTGGATAGACTGTTAGAAGCTTAATTTTCTATTTACTTGAAAAAGGAATAGAATAGAAAAATCCTTTAAATTTAATGTGCATGATATTTTTATACTTGGAAGTAATTCAGATTTTAAAAATAAGCATTCCAAAGTCATGATTAAGTAAATTTATTTACTTTTATTGTTGTATCGGTAGAACTTTAAAAGATTGTGCAGTTATAGTACTTGATTCCTTCTATTTTATAGTTTTCTTAGTAGTATTTGCTCTATTTTTAGAAATGTAATTCTTTGTCTCCTTGAAGCAGCACCTAGCTATATTTGTAAACTGTTTTTATTAATTTTTCCAGCAGATGATTTAATATTTGTGTTTTTATTCATACAGAAATAGTTTTACTTATTTCACACATCCCCTAATTATAGAGTGGTTTGATTTTTCTCAAGTACTCTAGATTTCATTTAGTCCTTTCTTTCTCTTTTCCTCCTTCCCTCCCCCATATGTGTATTAAAAAATGGAGGCATCTTGGGTTTTAATGTTAATTTATGTATAATAACCATTTTAAGTGCATATATTAAAACCTAGGTCAAACATTAAACTACTTACATGAATATGTATGAGCTAATTTAAAAATGAAATTAACTATTTTGTTGCCATTCTTATTCTCTGTAGCATTTCTTGAGACTTAAAGTGGCATTCTAAAGGCAATTTAAAAATCATGTCAAGCTCAATTGAACAGAAAAAAGGGCCTACAAGACAGCGCAAATGTGGCTTTTGTAAGTCAAATAGAGACAAGGAATGTGGACAGTTGCTAATATCAGAAAACCAGAAGGTGGCAGCACACCATAAATGCATGGTAAGTATGCTGGCCGAGGCCAAGAGACCTTGAAACCATTCATGAGAGAGAATCTTAGTAACATATGAATATTCCTGAATACTTAAATAAAAAAAACCACACACAGTTAAATTTTTTAAGAAATGTTTTGACTCTAATGCTATGCCATTTATACTACAGAATTTCTTTTTAAATTTAACATCTTATTCATTGTTTTACTGTAATTTATATATGAACCTTAATTTTTTCAAATGTAATTTATAGCTCTTTTCATCTGCTTTGGTATCGTCACACTCTGATAATGAGAGTCTTGGTGGATTTTCTATTGAAGATGTCCAAAAGGAAATTAAAAGAGGCACGAAGCTGGTAAGTTGTTATTTCTGCCTCTTGAGCATAAAAATTATTTTAAACTCATTAAGAAGGAAATTGCTTATTTTAGAATGTATTGCAGTATTAACTGAGTATAATTTTAAGTTGCAGACATTTTTTCTGAGCCCGCAAAATCCAAGGCTGGGTTTAATTTATTTATCACTCGACAGAAAGGAATGGATCAGTATCTGTATTACTCAAATATTTTTCTTTTCAAAACAATTAAAATCTTCTTAAATATTGTGTTTACCTAGGAAATGAACAGTTTGCTTGATTTATATGTATTGTATGTTAAAGTGTTCATTCAAGTATATTTTTCATAATTCTGGAGTGTTTTCCTCTCAATCGTAAAGTTATTGTGATTATTACAAATGAAGATGATAGTACCCCTCAAAAGGAAAATGTTAGCACTTGCAGAACAAAATATTTTAATGTGGTTCAGCTCTATGGCATAGTTTTTATGACTTTGGACAACTTCTGATGATTTTTTTAAAGAACTTCACTGCGTAGTAATAGTTCTTTTTTTTTTTGAGACAGGGTCTCCATATGTAGTTCAGGCTGGCCTTGAACTCATGGTGATCCTCCTGCCCCAGCCTTCCATCTACTGGGATTAAAGGCATGTGTCACCATGCCTGGCTGTCAACTTTTGGTGAATTTAACAGTTTTTCTAAAGCTGAGCTAGAATAAAGGTCCTGTAGTTTTCTTCACTACCTGTAGCTAGGCTGCAGATTACTTTGTTATTCTGTTGGAAAAGTAATGTCATCTCAAATGCTATTTATGACACATGGTTTACTTTAAAATATTTAATTAATGGAAAGACTCATTTTCATTTGGCTATTGTTCTTGTTTGAGCCTTTTATTGAAATTACATCCATAAATGTACCTTCAATAGCTTCACTATCAAGAGTTCCATTATTTTAAAATAGATTTGGCAGAACATGTATCTGTGTTCTTAGGCCCCGAATACCCTTTTATTTCACAAAAAAGGTCTGAAGTGGCAATTTTGGATGAAATGGGTGGACAATCAGGAACAATATATTTTGAAAAGTAGTCTTATTAGAAAAAAACAGTATGAAAAAATGTAAGTTCAAAGATAACATTTGAAATTTGCTTTGAGATATGTAGTCTCAAATTCTACAATCAAAATTGGTACAATTGAAAATTCAGAGGTCAGACTATTTTTGTTGTAGTGAGACCTTAACTGTGAAAGCAGTTACCCTCCCTGCCCTTTACAGTGTAGATAGTGATAGAAAGCTCCATATTTTAAAAATGGGATTTTTATTTGGTGGTTTTGGATTTCTTTGTTTTACTGTGGCATTCCAATTTTTTTAAGAATCAAAGCACAGTGCTTTGATTTCCTGGTCTTTAAAACAAATTCAGATGTAAAGAAAGAAGACTATTTACTTGTAAGTACATAGTGCTATAAGCCTCTTTTCCATTTACTTATTCTTGGGCATTATGAATATAACTTGAAACTGCTTCTTCATCCCGACTTGTTAGGACTTTTGTCACTTGATGTGGCTCCTATAGTCAGAACAGGAACAGTTTTGGTTCCTAATGTTGAAATAATAGTAGCAAATGGAGTGCCTAGTGTTGCACATTACATGGGGCATTAGTGTACATCGGTCAGTGTTACTAAATTCAGTGGATATTTAATCTATTTGGATCTGTTTATAAAGAAAACGTTTATCAGAACTTTGTACGAATTTCTCTATTATGTCATTTTGATTAAAGTTATAGTATAGGCTATTAATCCCCCGTCCCCCTGAGTTAGTGTGCAACTAAGCTTGTTCCTTGATCTGGGCTAGAAAGTGGAAGAATACTGGGGCTTAAGAGTAGAGGTGAAGTAACAGACTTAGGTTTGAATCCTAGCCCTGTCACTCACTAGCTGGGTCACCCTCCGGAGGATATTTACTACTCTAGGCTATGTTTTTTTCTTACTACAAAAAGAGAGTATTGCCAGGATTAAAAGAGACTATATAGGCCAATGCATAGTTCAGGGCATTGTATTTAGGAGCTGATAAATGGTAACTATCACTGTTATTATTACTTATAAATAAAAATAAAGTCCTGCTATTACCATGGTAGGCTAATGAAGCTTGCGGAGTTGACAAATCATGGACCTAAAGTTTTTGGTGCTGAGGACTGAACCTAAGGACTGATGAATGCTAACCATGTACTTTACTGTTGAACTATACCTCCAGCACCAGCCCTGGCTCCTATTTTTTAAAATAATTGCCACAGACACATTATGTAACCTTAAATCATTAATTTGTCTTTGCACCAAGTGTAAACATTACGCTGTATCACTACTTATTAAACAGTAATGCTGCATAACTAAAAAGTACTATAAAAAATCACCTTAGAAAAACTGTTTTGGAAGCAGTTTGACACTATGGGCCTCTAGCATTGAGGAATACCACCAGAGGGGCAATATTTCTGAGCCTGGGCATATAATTTAGCTCCCTTTCCTTTCCTCAAAATGTCAGAATTTAAATAGCTTGTGTAGGGGATAGGAGGGCTACATTTATATGTTCCTCTTTGACATCATTTTAAAGATTCCTCTTAACCTTCATTTTTGCTCTTTCCATTACATTGTTTTTTTTAAAGTGCTACCAAGTAACCAGGATTTTAGTCCTTGTCTTCATTTTTCCCTGTGTAGATTTGTCTAAGCAATGAAAGGCCATAAATCAAATAGGGAGAAAAATGAAGAGCTTTCGGTAACTAAATAATTTACATATAAACTTCGTAATCAACTTCCATAATTGACTTTTTAAGGCATTTTATCATACAAGCCTATTTGCCCTGGGTCCTGTTCATCTGCATTTCTAGGTGCAAAGTAGGTCATGAATACCCACTGAAAATAATCAAAAAGAGAAACACTAGCTCGTGAGTACTTCTTTTTTTCTTATGAGTACTTTCAATACAAATTCCAGTCTGTACCTGTTGTTGTTTCCAAAGGTGATTACTTACCTCAAAGAGAACGACAAAGAGGAGAGGCTGGGGCTTGAAGTTGAGAGGTACAGGCAATCAGATGGGTCAGAGTCTTGCACTGATTAGGGCAGGAGGTATAGGCACGTGGTTCCTGTGTTCTTGTAGCCATGGCCAGTTATCCAGGTTTTCACATCATCCACAGGGAGCAGAGGAGGAAAGAAACATCCTGCATGAACATTTTCATCCCTTTTATATCATCTTTAAATACATAGCTCCAAGATGGACCAGGGAAAATTTGCCACAGTACTAAGGCTTATTGTTTGAGACTCTGATTTTGTATTTTTTTGACAGCTAGTGTGTGTGTGTGTGTGTGTGTGTGTGTGTGTGTGTGTGTGTAATCTTTTCAGAATGATTTCTACTTCCGACTGAAGCCATATGACAACACCATACCTGTACCACATATTCTTATTCTTTAGCCATCAAACCAAGAACTACAAATATCCAAGTAAAATTATGAGTTCCCATTGCTTTTTAGAATTTGTCTAAGAAGACAGTTGAGCAGTATATTTGAAGAACATTCTCTTTTTGGGTGAAGCTAGTTGGTGAGGTCATAAAGAAGACATACATCAGATAGCTGCTCTTACTAATTGCTACCTGTGTCAGATATATCAAAGATTGCAAAAAGCAGAAACAGTTAAGGAGGCCCTTTAGTTCACCTTTCTTAGCCTTAGGCAAGATTACTGACGAGTCATCCAAGATAATATTTTTGCCTGCCTTGTTCTTAAATATGTCAGGAAATTGTGATCCTACTTCTGTGTTCTGTAACAGAACCAATAATATATAATATTCGTCAGAGTTGAGAAATTCATTCCTCTGTACAACTGAAGTATCTCAATTTAAAGCCATTTATTCTGGGTTTCATTTCTACACTTGATCTTAGCCAAAAGGCCTACATTTCATTTCTTCTATTTAAGAAGTACAGTATATGGGGTTCTTTTCCTCTTATTTTAAAAAAATTCTTCATATACTTGATGATTATCTTTAGGTCAATCCTAAACTTGTCCCTTTTGCAAACTCCATTTTACTCACATGTTTTATGAAATTCTCTGGACCAGTGATAGCTTTAAGAGCTTTCAGTCATAACGAACAGCCCCTCTGTCGCACGTGTGCCATAGGTTCACCACTACTGCATCTGGGCATTTTTTCCTGTTTTTCATAGAAATAGCTAATATTTGTTGAACACTTAATATATGTAAGGATCTAGGCTAAGTATTTTTTTAAGTGTCATCCAGGGCCCGGGGATTTGGCTCAATGGTTCTGTCACCTGCCTTCCAAGCACAAGGGCCTGAGTTCGATTCCCAGTACCAACAAAAAAAAGTCATCCTATTTAAGCTTCACAGTCATACTGTGAGATAGGAAAGTATTAATTCACACCTTATACATAAGGAGACAGAGGCTCAGGGAATTTAAGCAACCCAACTGGTCATATAGCTAGTAAATGGCTGAGCTGGGATCTGAATCCAGTGCTAGTTGACCCCAAAGCCAGAACTCTTAACCACCAGGTTATACTACACTGTCTTCTAAACTCCCCAACCAAAAACCACGTTTTTAAAATGCAATGATAAGAGCTTAGTATAATACTTTTCTTTTTTTTTCCTTGTTGAGTTTATTGGTACATTTTAGGTATACAGTACAGTTACATTCATTATTGGGATCTTGTACCTTTACATGACAGATCTTGGTTCTCATTTTTTCCCCTTACCCCTACCCTCCCTTCACCCTCTCCTCCCTTCCCTATTTACAAATACTTTATTTCCATTTTTTTCATATTCTCATGTTTTTTTTCTTTGCCCTCATTTCCTTTCCCCTACCCTTCCCAATTCTCCTACATCTTTAGCCCTTTTCTTCCTATTTCACTTTGTCAATTATACCATTAGGATCTTATTTATGATTATAGTTTTTCACACCAGAGAAACTATTCGGTATTTACACATGTGTGACATACCCAGCCATCCCTCTGCCGGGTATCTTTCCAAAACAATTAAAAATCATACCACAGTGAC